GTCAATTTTATTTTGGGCGTTGCCTAATTTTAAGGGTAGTATTCCTGGGTTATAATTAATTCGGTCGTATTTTGGTTTTCCATAGATGGTGGCGAATCTGAAACAACAGGTGGTTTCCTCAGTTCTTGAATGTGTATTATTTCTTTTTTATTTGGATCTTTTTTCCGAGTTATTTTCAATCGATTTCTTTTTGACATTTTATTTTTTGATTTATTCCTTTTTAAAGGGTTTAATTTATATACCGTTTGTTCTAGTTTAAATTCATCTATTGTGTTTCCTTTTACATTGTGTTTAGAAACAATTTTCTTTTGTTTACTCAAAACTTCTTTTACTTTTTCATAGATTTTTTTCAGTTTTTGTTTATGATTTTGAGCATAATCCGTAAAATATTATTTTAGATTAAATATTTCATTTGGCTCTCTTGAGTTTGTATGATCAAAATTTAGTTCAAATAGTGTATATTTCGTTGAGCTATGTATTGTATTATTATAGGCAATAATAGCATAATCCATTAATCCTTCAGTTTCAGTACGGAAGCTTTTTTTTCAGTATTTTTAGGTGTTCTATAATTGTGGAGTGAAATCTTTCAACTACACTGTTTGATTCGTGATGTAAGGGGGTGCTAAAATGAATTTTAATTTTATGTAAACTTAAAAAGTTCTTTGAGACAGTTTCGTTCTTAAATTCTGCCCTTTGTTTAAAATTATTTTTTCTGGTATTGCTGCAAAAGCTCTGGCATGCATTTGCGATGTTTATTGCATTTTTCCAGGTATTTCAATTACTTGTGCGTATTTCGAAAATGGGTCAACTAGAGTTAAATACATATTTGTGGCCCAGATGTTCAAAGAATATATCTTATTTATGGTCTGGCTTCTCATATAAATGAGAATTTTCTTTTCCATAATAATGTGATTTTTTTCTGTTAATGTACCAGAATTTGTAGTTTTCATCCGTCCCTAATATTTTTCTAGAAAAAAGGGGGCTCTCTTGAACACTTCCTCGAAACCATTTGCAAAATTGTAATCTTCTCCCGTGATCACCAGCATGTAAAAAATGTAAACTTGGTACACATTTAAATTAAAAGTTGCCATATTTATGTTTTTAACATTGGAAATGTTTATGTTCGTATATGGGGGCCAAATTTCGAGTTTTCTTTCAAGGTCGTCAGCAACGGTGTCGCACTAGCCGCACAGTCGACCAAATAAAGCATCAAAACTTTGTCGCGTGATGCCTAATTTAGGTGAACTGGCCTGACAGCACGAAACCCTCGGCGATATACGAGGTTTAATTTTGTTAGTCCCGATCAGTGGCGGATACAGAGGGGGTGCCCATGGGGCTCGCCCCCCCCCCCCTAAAATAAATTCCTGTATCCGCCTTTGGTCCCGGCGATATTACTTGACGACTATGCTACGGGGGGCGATTATAAAATTGAATAGATTGATATTGATATTTGCAAAGGTTACAAAACAGTACTATTTTTGAAATTTTTGATTTGGGTTTTGACAATTGTTACAATGTTGTTTATAATGAACCGATATTTTTATTTAGGTATTGATATATTTCAGAAAGGATTTAAGGATTAAAGATATAATATATTTACTTAATTTCAAGGTATCTGCATGAAAAATCAAGGCTATTTTTATAAGGTGTTATAAAATAGATTATAAATATTTAAATATTTAAACTAACCTAAAATAAAACAAAATAACGTTAAATGTAAACAAACACAACTATAATATATACAAAAATTACAAATTTCTTAAAATTGTCAGTTTTGAGTGTTCTTTATTTTGATTTTGGCATTTTAACTCCCTGTTTGCAAATTTCAGAGTATAAAAAATCCTTACTCTTATATATAAGGACACCAGGTATTCTTCCGGGAAATTAGGGCAAGGGTGTGTAAATGGAATAGAAGAAAACTTACTTTTTAAGTTATTACCTATGCTATCTTGAGTACAAAGCATATTAAAATGCTCATTAAACGTATTTTCCAGAGATATTAAAAATTCAATAAAGTTTTTTGGAGGGACTGTTAATCCCCCAAATCGGCCTCGATTGCCTTAGAGTGCTTTCTTTTCACAAAATATTGTGGAGTTGTCTGAACTTGCACTGTTACAAAAATCGATACAAGTGTCACATGTATGCTTTAAAAGACATTTTCGCAAAAAGTATCCACCTATATAGACTAATGCACATTCAGAAAATGAAAAAGTGGAATTATGGTAATGATTTCAGAAACTACCCTCTATTAATTGTTTTTTTTTTAATTATGTTTATTTTTTCTTCTAATCATTATTAGTTATTATTATTAACAATGGTGTTTTTTATATCAAGCTTAGCTGCAAATATATAACGTTAATTATGTTTAATTATGTCGTGTTATCATTTTCAATGCCTCTGATGGTTGCAACGATTGCGAAATCTGTGAGCTTTTGATAATTTTCCCTACATAAGAATCACTTACACAACACTTGCGACTTATTTTACGACTAGAAGTTTCCGGATTTATTTCAATCTAAGCTGGTACATTAACATCATAAGCTTTTTTAAAATAGTGCCCTCTTGTTTTTTAAAGCTACTAGCAACTGCTAAATTTCTTGAAATCTTTTCGAAAATAGTACGATGAGGCTATGTTCTTTCAGGATACAATGTTCTATAACTTGCGCATGCCATATCGGAATTTCTATTATTTTTTAAGTAAACATCATACATATCTCGTGTTTCCTCACTTGTAAACATATTCTTGACAAAAAAATCAGTTTTTTTAAAAATTCGCTCAAAAGATCAAGTCTGCCTTGGAAATCCAATTGACACTTTATCTGACAGCAAGTTAATTTTGGTGTACTCTATTAAGTATCAAATCTGGACACAAAAAATTATAATAGATAGTGTAAAGTGTATTAACAACTTGCTGTCATATAAAGTGTCAATTGGATTTCCAAGGCAGACTTTATCTTTTGAGCGAATTTTTTGGTGAATTTACATAATATTGAATAAAAATTAGATACCACCGTATAGATTATTTTTGTGTGCTCTATCTAATAGTATAAAAATTCAAAATAGCCGCCATAAGAAAACAAAAACTTGACTGTTGTTGTGCGAAATCTAGAAGGCTTATAAATTTTGTGAAAACGGCATTTAATTGGCCGAGGTCAAAAATATAAAGCTACCAACTTACGTTACAATATAGTTACAATAGTTCTAAAGATATTCTCATTTAAAATAAACGCATTATTTTAATTTTTTTGACATGAATCCGAAACTAATCAAGTTACCGGGGTTTTCTTCATAGGTTTTTGTCAAACTTCTAATTACGCAACTTTTGTCCCATTTAACCAAATTCGTATCTCTCGTAGTTTCTGAGATACCAATGTTGAGCATCGAAATTGTCACCACCCTATATACATGGTGTTTCAAAAAACAAGTACCATCTCCTCGTGGGGAGATTCCTCAGGTAAAAATAAGATTTATTTTTCATATCAACATAAGTCCGATTCTGCTTTGTTTCGTAGCTACAGGGTGTTAAAATCTTAATAATCTTTCGATTTGTTATAATTTTCTTCCAAGTACTTTAAGTGATTTGAATGAAATTTTGAGTGTAAAAGTTTCTATAAGTGCTACATATTTTAATGCTAAAAAGTGTCGATAAATTCATCATGGACGTGCATATGGGTTATCACTGGAATATTTTTCAAAAAAAAACATGTGCGCCACTTTTTTCTTTTGATATCAAAATTGTGTATGCCGTTTAATGCCAATAAAAAGTTATCTCTTGATATTTTGTTGAATTCGGCCTGTTTGATGAGATAAACGCAATTTTATTAATCACATTTAATAAAATTAAAATAAAAATAAAATTATTAAATTGTATATTTTACCTAATTTATTATTAAATATTATTACTATTAAACTCGGCATTAAACTGCTTACACTATTTCGCTAACAAGAGAAAAAAAGTCAGTGGTGTACATGCTTTTTTTAGGAAAATATTCCAGTGATAACCCATATGCACGTCCCTGGTGAATATGTCGACACTTTTTTAGCTTTAAAATATGTCGCATTTATAGTAACTTTCACCCTGAAAATTTCATTCAAAACGCTAAAAGTACTTGGAAGAAAATTAAAATAAATCGAAAAAATATTAAGACTTAATAAATCCAAAACATATTAAGATTTTAACACCCTGTAGCTCCGAAACAAAGCGGAATCGGACCTATGTTGATATAAAAGATTTCTAATTGCTTGTTTTTCTTCGTGCTTACAGTGTTCTAAGCGTAACTGTTTTAAGTTTCGAAATATTATCTTAATTTTCGGATACCGGTTCGTCATTTTTTCTAAGCAATTTATTTCTTGGGTATTCAATATTTCAATCAATACTTGTCCTTTGTTCCAACAGAGTTTTGTTTGGACTATTTCTTGTTTTTCATTGTCTCGATCCGTCCTTTTTTTTTGGTTTACCAATTAATCCGCGTAACGGGTATCAACTACGATGTTTGTTAGATGGCTTGGCAAAACCTACCGACTGCGCCAGTTTTTTTTTGTGATCGGGACAATTACATTTTAAAAAACAACACAGAGACTTGATCAGTCTATTAATGTGTTTGGTTGAACAGTACCTACTAACAAAAAGATGCTAAAATACAAATGGAGCTTATATTTATAATCTCATACTGCTGGGATAGGCGGGTGACGTACCCAGTTACGTGGATATAATTAGCCATAAACTTCTTCAAAAATCCGAAAGGCGGACTACTATATTTGACCTCACAAAACTGCAATTCTTTTCCCATTTAACAGTCTCTCTCTCCAGTAGTTTCCGAGCTACTCATACAGAACATCGTAGGAAACTCACCCTGTATAAAACCAGAAAATCAAATAAATCAATAACATTATCTATTGCTTAACATTAACTGAATAAGTTCATAAAAACATGTATGTAATGTCATGGTGTTGAAAAAAGTATCTTTTATGATTATCCATTTAAAAAATTAAATTTTCAGGTTTATAAAATGCCACCAAATATTATTGGTAATCCTGAAGATTTATTCCATCCAGCGAAAACATCAATCGAAACTGTGGACTCTAATTATTCTAATATCTACCCCCATTATAATCCAAATGAAAGAATTATAACAAAGAAGAGAGATAGAGAAGATAAGCCAACATCTAAAATTGTTTGGCGAAATGTTGTTATATTTTCTATTCTTCATATATTATCAATTTACGCATTATTTTTATTGATAGTAGGATACATTAAAAGATCAACCATGATCTATGGTATGTAAAGTGATATAAGAACTGTTGCGTTCATAATTAAATGATTTAATTTTTAAGTAGTTTGTAAGAAATAAACTTCACAACGGCAACGCTGTCATAGACGCGAGAAACTTTCTAAGGGCCTATGGATCAATTTTTTTTATGAGAAAAAGATTCGATTTTTTGCTTTTGTAACGCGTGGACGCTTGACTCTATAACTTGTAAAATAATTGTAATTGTTAAAATTTAGTAGAAAAAAGATCCGACAAGAACTAATATAATTTAAGTTTTTGTGTATTTTTCTTATTTATTTCTTGGGCTAATATTGGGCTTATTTATTTATTTCTTGGGCTAATTATTTAATAAATGTCCTGCATGTTATAGGTCTTTATTCTATATGACGTTCTGACCTATTTTTGGCCTTTTTCACAATCTTATCCTGTCACATCAACAAAACATGTCCATATAATATAATAAGTCAGAAAACACCACACTAACATGTAATTTGTTATATTAGCATTCAGGGGCGCATATACGGGAGGGGTAATGGGGGTTATTACCCCTCCCAGGAAGAAATTTATAAATAAGAAATTCTGCAATAAAATAAGATTATCACATAATAAATTAATAATATCAATCAAAATAGAAATCCAGAACAATCTAGGTTTATTTTTTTCCAGTCACCATACTTTTCAGCGAAAATTTAATTTAGATCTATTACTTTATTTAAATATTGCCACTACCCCTCCCAGACTCAATATCTGGATGCGCCACTGTTAACATTTAAAACACTTTAATTTTTTACATCTGTACATTTATATCCATCGCATAGAAAGTTATATCGCATATTTTCATTAGTAACAAATGTTCTATATACCGGGTATATCAAAAGTGGGTCACTCCTATAACTTATTTTTTTTCAGATAAAAAAACGAAATTTCCTGTGTTAGTATATGACATAAATTAGGATTTATTATAATGACGATATTATTTTGACATTTCACGTATTCAATTGTTTTCGGTCAGTTCCTGTTTCACCGGAAATGACTACAACTTTTGATGTTACATACCCTCGGTAATTTTTACTTTATGCAATAGAAAATGACATTCTGAATAGAATGACATATCATATTATGTCAACTTTTGATATTTTCGCATATGGTTTATTTGAAATTGCAACAGTTGGTTTTTGCCGTTTATAACGACAATTGTTCCCCCATTGCGGTTTATAACAACAAATTATTCGTAAAAAATGCTTTTTCCAAATATGCTAATGAGCCAAACCCAACCCTCGTTTCATTTGAAAAAATTGAGATATGATTAAAAATACGATTTGAGCATGTTTTAACCGGCCAAGACAAGACACGAAAAACATTAGACGATCAAAACTATTTTTCCAAGGTGCTTTCCAATGCTTGATTAAACATTAGTGTTTTTAACACAGCGATGGCACTCTAGATTGACATTCAAAATACGATTATTTAGAGCGAAAATTTCAAAAGTTGACATGTGATATGTCATTGCATTCAGAGTGACATTTTTTGTCGAATACAGTAAAAAAATACTGAGGGTGCCATTTAAAAATGAAAAGTTGTAATCATTTCCCGTGAAACAGGAAGTGACCAGAAACAATTGAATACCGTTAATCAGTCCTAATTTATGTCATATACTACAAATACATGCAAATAAATTTAAAAAAATACCAAATCTCGTTTTATTATCTGAAAAAATAAAAAAGTTATAGGGGTGAGCCACTTTTGAGACGCACCCGGTATACAAATTTTGTGCACGATGCACTGACAACTACGAACTAATATTGTTTATTGAAGAAATAAGAAGATGCACAACCTTATGGCGATTTTGTGGCACAAACCCTCTCCGAGATGTAGCTGAGACGTAAGGGGAAATAAAATCAGCCTTGTCACGAATTAAGGTTGCGCATCACGAATTAAGGTTGCCCATTAGGTTGCGCATCTTCCTAATTCTTTCAATCAAGGCTAATATAGATAAATCAGTTGTCAATGCAGGGATGCATAATATGCAAGACATTTATTACATAATTAACTTACTTTATATTCCAAAAACAAGAAAAATACACAAAAACTTAAACATAAAGTTGGAATAGAGAAAAACTAAATTCAAATGAATAAAAGTAATAATAAGGTATCGGTCAGGTGTAATGTGATAAAAATTCTACGTACTGTAACGAGTAATTATTCTAATAATTGAATAATGGCATTTAAATGTATTAACAACTTATTAATAATAATATCGATAGAATTGTTTAAACAGATTGCCGTATTTTTATCTTTTTATATGATAGTAAAAATCAGAAATCAGTGAATGTTGCTAGCCAACCAAGCAAAAAACTTCACATTACATTTGCAACATTGCAGTTAATCCCCAAACAGCTTGCTTTGAAATGTTGATTTCTAAAAGTTGTGTCGTAATTAATGAATGAAAGCTTGCTAAAGAAATATTGTTTTTGAAAAGTGATTAAAATATAATTATGATTTACATCTCACAATCTTGCAAAATTACGTCGCCTAAAATATTTTTGAAACAAGTTTTTTTTCTGCAACATTGCAAAAAAGGTTCAAATCAAAGATCCGGGCGAGTTAATATACCTTATTATCGAAAAAAACGGCGTCTAGTTGGCTTGGAAATGAACATTGATGACATTCTCTATATAATTTTACATACAAAATGACAGCGATCTTCATTTCATAGCCATCACTGACGCCGCTTTTTTTCGATCGTAAGGTATAAGCTAGAGTTGGGCAAAAAATCACTACATGTGATTCTGTCGCCGTGAAATAAAAGTCACGGATCACAGCCGCTACCAAGGTAAAACTAAAACGTGACTGTGACTGATACGGCGTGAGTCGCGACTGCATCGAGATTAGGGAATGCAATCCCGCAAATGCTGGATCCCGCAAATGCGGGATCCCTCTGTGATTCCGTAGGATCAAAGTTGCGGGATTTACCGTGCGGGATCTGCGGGATCGACACCAGGGAATTCCCGTTACGGCTTGGCCATTAAAAATAAGTGAAACAAACAGGTTAATTGTTAGATTTCTTTCTGGCGTGCCTAAGTGAAGAAAAGCGTTTAACTAGTACTTGTGGACAATTACGTCAAATAAACTGCCGGACATAATTATCGGGACAAGCAAAATTTTAGGGTAAATTTAAAGTTGGATATCTCTTGAACTAAAAAAATTTTGGGATGCGGTTTGGACCAGGTTTTAGATACATCTATTGTGATTAAGATTCTATGTGGTTTTCGAAAATGTGAAAATATATTTAGCGAATTCTCGTATACAGGGTGTTTTATAAGAGTGAAAATTTGGTCAAGAATCTTTTTAACCGCAAATTTACAATTTTTAAAAAATCGGAATTTTTACCAAGTACGACTAATCTGTACTGAAATTTGAAAAAAACAATTTGATCGGTTTTTTATTTTTTTTTGTTTTAACGAAAGTACGACGTTTTTTATACGATGGTCCTAAATGGTACAAAAAGCTTTGTACATTCTGCATATGCCAAAAAATTATTGATATAGAGTGTATCTGAAAGCAGATAACTAACACAAGTTAAAAACAATTTCAACATCAGAATAATATTTCTATTTATAAAATAAGTAGATAAATTATAATACAATTTAAGTTTATTTAATATTAAATATATTTTTTGAACACCCTGTATACATCGGTCCAAATTTCTGTACAGATAGTTTAAGATGATACACGCTATATCAATATATTGTGGGCCTATGCAAAATGTACAATGCCTTTTGTACCATTTAGGACCAAATGTATGACTATAAATGCATATTTTTCGAAAAAAAAAATCGTATTTTCCTTAAAACAAAAAATTAAAAAAAAACACCAAATTGTTTTTTCTAATTTCAATACAGGTTAGTCGTACATAGTTGTAAATTTTCGGTAAAAAAGATTCTTAACCAAATTTGTACACTATTATAAAACACCCTGTATACGAGAATTCGCTAAATATATTTTCGAAAACCACATAGCATCTTAATCACAATACATGCGTCTAAAGCCTGGTCCAAACCGCATCCCAAAATCGGAGAGAGAAAAGAAGAGCATTTATTGTTTACAATCCCGCAATTTTGCGGATCCGCGGAATTGATTGCTTTAATCCCGCGGGTTTGCGTGATTGAGATTTTGGTGCGGGATTGCATTCCCTAATCGAGATGCTAGGTTGTTTGACCTGTTTCTATTGCTCTCGCTTTTGCTACATATTAAAAGTGAGAACTGTAAGTGAGAAAGAGAAACGAATAACCGTTGTTTGTCGCTCCGTCTTTCCTTTCCAACTTCTTAAATCGCTGTAAGGTTGAAAATCGCAAATCACACCGCAAGCACGCGTGACATACAGGGTGACCAGATGGGGCGCTTTCGCGCGAATTCGAGAGTATGTGCTTGATATGCAGAAGTTCGAAATTTGGTACATCCCAGGTTCCTTGAGTGACGTAAATGAGCCCGAAGAAGGGATTTTTGGAAATTCGATCCATAGGGAGTGAAATTAGGGATGAAAGGTAGCATAAAAATTTGTTAAAATCTGTTCTATAAGTATGAAATTCACGAAGGCTCCTTGGTTGACGTAATTGAGCACTAAGGGGCGATTTTTGGAAATTCGCTCTTGAAGGGGGTAAAATGAGGAATGAAATTTGTATACTAAAAAATTAAAATACATATATGTATCCTAGGAGTACGAAATTTTGTCTCACTGAGGTGCCTTAAGTAGAGTTTGTAACGTTTTTAGTTCGTTACATGTCTTTTTTATATATAATATATGATGTCTGGCCTATCATCACCGGATTCCCTCTCGTTCAGGCCGGATAGTTTATTTGACGCGTAATTTTTACGTTCCCTGCTCGCCAACCCTGTTATCGTTCGACACAACCCTGTTACTATTCTGTGGAGGCGCGCGCTGTCAACATCGCTTCTGTCAACTCTCTCCGTGCTTAACCTCACTTTGTTTTGACGCTCTGTTGTATC